TGGACAGTGGTAACAATTTGGCTAGACTGTGTAGAGCAGACCGATAGTGATAAAATTGCAAGATGAATGGGAGAAACAAAAACTTGGGTGTCTCTAAAAATGTCATTAATATTGTGATAATTTTGAAAATAAATGGAAATTTTACTTATCTATGGTTTCAAGATGAACCATTGACGTGCAGGCAATATATTTATATTTAAAAATATAAAAAATATATATTTTTATGTATATCTAAGGAATAGGAAGGAAATATAAACTATTGATTTATTTTTGAGAATTTAAATATAGGGATAATCTCCTCCCTCTTAAATTTATGAAATATACATATATACACATATATAGGATCTATCTATATATATATATCTCCTCTAGAATCCATTTAATGTTAACCATATGTACATGGGTTTAAAGAACTCAACTCTGTAGCAAACAGAGACTCAGACTCCCTGAAACCAATGGTTCCCCTTAACTCCTCATCTAGAGCTGCTAACTTCTGAAATAATCCTCACCCTCATTGGAAAGACAGCTGTTGTCATTTTTCAATCTTGTTTGGACAACTGTGTTGCTGAAATTTCATGAATAAGCTTCCTTGTCACATCTAAAAGATACCACTTCTCAGCCTATTTCCTGATATTTTGGGTCTTGAAATCTTCTTGTCCACGATTGTTTGCTATTTCAGTGAACTTTAGGAACAGAGGTTATGTTGTAGATGTACCTTGGGTTGAGAAATCCATGGTCAATAATTTTATATATGTTTGTCAGTTGTGTTTCTCTATAGTAGTCCTATCTGCTGCAAAAGGCTTCTTTGATGAGGAACTAAAATTACACTCATCTATGGGTATTAGGATAGATATTTAGGATACAATTAGAAACAACAATGTGTAGAAAATTGGCTATAGAATGTTCTTCTCTAGAATATGTAACCTCTCCAGCTATGAGTAGTTGATTAGATACACAGTACCAGGCAAGGAGTCCCTAGTTTGACCAGACCTGTGTCCAATTTGACAATTTGTTACCCACCACCTGAAATCTGAGTGACTTTATTGTACCTTTGAGGACATCTTACTGGTCTGGTCATTGCGGCTTGTAGGCTTTACTGCTGGAAAGAAGTACTTAATGTTTTTATCCCTTGGCGATTTGCATAACATATCTAGTTTTTATTGAGGAGGCTTCCAAGTTATTTCCAATTCAATTCTTCTAAATCCCACATCTGAAGTATGTGATACCATCAGCAACAGGATCTTATCTCCAAATTTAGAATGTAACCAAGGGCAATGACATTAGCTTATATTGTTTTTTGAGTCTTGTGTAACACCTCTGACCAATAAGTCAACAGATGTTTTCTTATACCTGGTATTAGATAGTATACAAAAAGAATACATTTCTCTAAAACATTTTAGATGATATACATCATTTTATTTTGATCATGGCAGTATCACTTTTACTTAGCTATTGTTAAGTTATCTGGTCTTGAAAGTGTAATGATTTTGTCCCTTTATATCTCCTTTGCAAATGCTAAATATGTTATATTAATTTCACAGCTCTGATGCAAAATTCACTTCTTGCTGTCCACTTTGCTATGAAAGATAAGACATTCATGATTCAATTCAGGCACTCTTAGTTCTGGGAGTCAGAATTCTGATAGTCACAGCCCATTATGACATGACAGATCATTCCCAACTCTTTACAACCTTATGTTGAAATGGGAAGCAATATTTTTTCATAATTCAAGTTAAGAAATATCCACTTGGAGGGATCATCAGGGAGGCAACAATTAGTGAACAGATGTATCTATATAAGTGTTAGCCAAACATCTCTGAGCAGGTGAATTTCCTGGCATTCTAGCTGCCCAAATCTCTATTAGTAAAGATAATAGAAGAAATAGACTGAAAGAGATTTTATTTTCAACTTCCTATATAATGGTTATGTCTCCTAAAACTAACGTTCACATGTGGATCAAAAGTCCAGGTTGGTAAAGACTGCATACTATCTATTCTTTAGTCTCCTTCCCATGGATCCTCCCTAGTGTTTGTTCTTTCTCTCCTTTAGATTGTTTGAACTAGATGAATTGTTCCCTCTCAGTCAGACCCACTCTTGGAGGCTTGCTTGACTCATTATGGGTTAGAGAGGGACTTGGAGAAGAAAGTAATTGTCAGCAATGTGACCTTCGAATACATTGTATATGTGACTATCAAACCTAAAATACCACCATAATAGATACTCTATTAACTGAATGTCAGTGAGTTATTGGACTGCACATGTATGATTTCATAACATTATACGTGATATTCAATTCTCAAAAGAAGGGGCTATTTGGTATATCATGAAAATGGAGAGAAAAATTTCTTTAAAGCTTTTCCATAATCATAAACAAATACAATAGTGACTCTTACCTAGCAATCAAGTGAAGTAACACCTATCCTTTCCTTACCTCTTGATAACTTTACTACTCTCAATCTTGTTGCATGCTTCTTTCCCATTCCCACTATATATTTATCTTCATTCACTTTAATTCAGCTTCCTTTATTGGGTCTTCCCTTCACAGAAGGTTGTCTTACAAAAGTTGTCATTGACATTTCTGCTGAAAATATTTAAAAAGCGCTTATAAGTAACCTTCCTTGGCAGCTCTTTTGATAACTCGACACAAGCTAGAATAATTGAGGAAGAGTCTACCTCAGTAGAGAAAATGATCCAAGTAGATTTGTCTGTAAGAAATCCTCTGGGGCATATCTTAATAAGTGATTTATGAGGGAAAACCCGGCTCATTGCAGGTTCCATCATCAATCCACAGATAGTACTGAGTGTATAAGAAAGCAGTATGAGGAAGCCTCAGAGAGTAAGGCCTTAGGCAGCTCTCCTCCATGGCTTGGGCTTCAGTTCTGGCTTCCAGGTTCTTTTCTTGAGTTTTTGCTCTGATTCCCTTCAGTGACGGACTCGATGTGGGAGAGTAAACTATAAATAAACTCTCTCCTTCCCAGTTTGCTTTAATTCATGAAATTTTATCACAGTAATACAAACTCTAAGTCAGAAATTTGGACCATAGAGTAGACTATTGCTCTGACAGATCTAGCCATGCTGTTTTGGGAAAGTTTGTAGGATTTTTCGAATTCTGTGCTAGGAAAGTCAATGAGTTCTGTGAGCTTAATGGGCTAATCTGCAGGATCTTGGATGATAGGAATTTTGAGAATGATTTATAGAGTAAAGACCTAACTTATGAGGTTTCAGAAAGAATCAAAGACTCTATTGGTGTCATTGATGCTATATTTTATATTAAGACTATGTGATTCAGCTGGAACTGAGGAGTCAGCTTCCATTAACAAGGTACTTGAACAACTAAGATAAAAATTTTTGCTTTGCTGAGACAATAGCTGCTAATTAGTGAGGACTGAAAAATCAGTTTTGATTAAGAGGGAACCGGAAGCAATGAGGAGAAATCTTCTTGGAAGCATTTCCTAAGGGTCAACATACAGAATCTGTGGTTCACAAGAGGCCAAGGGTGTACATTGTGATGGCAGGTGAACTTGGGAATGTGTAGAGGTCTCCCAGATGGTATTGATTTTGAAGACACAAAATGTCACTGAGAGTGGCTGGATCCTGACATTTATAGAGATCAGGAGAGGCCAGTGGTGAAGGTAGTCTCCATTGCAGAAGAAGTCCCAGGAATGAAGGGCGGTAAAACAGAGTTGGAGGTTGAAACCATGCTGTAGTGTTAGAATGCCTAAAGATACCACAGGAAAGGCTATCTTTGAGCCTACAGCCCAGCTGTATAGAGATGAAGAATATTAGAAATACTAGTAAGCATTAGATAACTACCATGGATATTAGGAATGGAGTTCGCTGGACTCTCTGATAAAATATTAGTGTGTTACATATGGTAAAGCTGGAGAAATGAGTCCATTAGAACCAATAAGATTGTAGGTCCCACCCTAGTCTATTTGGATGCACACCTTCCTAGGCCTGGATGGAAGGGGAAGGGCCTTGAACTTCTCACAGGGCAGGGTACCCTGCCACCTCTTAAGACTGGAGGGGGAGAAGGAGGGTGAATGGGGGAGCATGAGGGTATTGGGAGGAGGGGAGGAAGTGGAAATTTTTGAATGGAAAAATAAAAATAAAAAAAGATTGTAGGTCCCAGACTTCAATCATTGAACTTTTTATACTGTTGAATTATGATTTATTTTTGAGTATAACTATATCCTCATTCTTCCTTGATGGAATAAAACAACATTCAATTTTTTTATTGGAGCTCACAGTTTTTTTTAGAATACATACCTGAATACCTTGAATATTTGAGAGACATTTTGGAGATTTAGGGAAGATTTGAATGTTTTAGAAAAAAATGCTTCAAAAATATTTCTCCCATACCTAAATTTTAGTAAAATTATTTGACCTTTGTTAATTTGGTATGAAAGAAAACTATTGTAAGATTTTAATGAAATAAGTCCTAGTGTGTAAATTTTTTACTTGTATACTCAATAGCAATTTTTGAGGTGTCTCTTCATACATTTAAGAAACAGCCTTCTCCCTTCACAAATTATGAATATATTTGAATAAAATTTATTTTTATTTTCATGTCAAAAGTCTTTAAAGTCTAAATATTCACTCTGAATTCAAGACCAGACATAAATGAGAATGAAATGCATTCTCAAGGAATATACAGAAGAGAAATCTATGGAGAAAAAGTTCTGCATACTTTTCCCCTTGAAAATGGAGTTAACCTTGGAAAAGACACAAGTAGAACTTATGGAAGAATGGAAGTATTAAAAATGATAATAGGAATGTTGAGTGTGGTGGTTAGTGTCCAAAAATTTACCATGCACATTAAAAAATGATAAATAATCACCATTTAGAACAATAATATGTATAGTATAATTTTATTTTATTTTCATAGTGGGTAGTTCTATATATAAAGATCCATAGGAAACACACCTATTAAGGCTGAAGACAAATTATATTTAATTATTAAGTTCTTATTTAAAAGTTCTTTATTATGGCTCTAGATATTAAAAGTAGTATAAATTACTATGTTTTAATGTTCTTTCTCTTAAAATCAGTCAAACTGAGAATAAGAAGTATATTTCCTCAATGTTAGAAGACAGACTTGCAAATAATAAATAGATGGAAAAGGATAACATAGACCCTAGGACATGACATTGGTTGTAAAAATATTACCATCTGCTTCCTTATTCTTGTCTCTGTTATCTGTATCCTTCTCTGCCTCCTGAGAGACCCCTGGAGCAATCACACATCAACAGCAATGAGCAGATCTGTCACTCTGATTCCAGTTTCTGACACCATTCTCCAGTCATAGAAACTGTTGCTCTTTCACTGGGCCAGAAGAATTTGACTCTGTTGCACTGTAAAATAATGTAATGTTCAAAAATGAAAGGATCAGAGCAAAGGGAAACTGAGGCAAATTCAGAGAGAAAGATTTGGAACATTTTAAGCAACCAAATTAATCATAAGATTCATAATGGGTGCCATTTATTGAAAAGTAAGGAATAGAAAGGACATATGGATGTAAATCAAGAGGAAAATAAATGATAGCTGATTTATTAGAATTATCTTCCATTTTCATTAGTTGATGTGAAATTATACTTTGACTAATTCTCCATACTAATAAACCCAATACTTGTATTTCCAGTATTTATGCATTTTTGTGAGATATTGGATATATGAAAAGTACTAATTTTAGGTATAGTATACACTTACTTTGTTTAGCTTTTATTAAGTGTACTCTGGAATGGTGATGGAGCTCAGCTCATGATGTACTTTCTTATCATGTATGAGACCCTGGGTAACTTCCCTAAGTCCCAACAAATCAGGTAGGGTATATGTCTATAATCTATGCAACTTCAGGTAGAAACAGAACCAGCAGGGGATACATGAAACCTTGTTTCAGATAAATAAATAGATACATAAATAAGCAAACAAACAAACTAAGCACTATATTACACGAAAATAATCTTACTTTTACAGTGAATACTAGATTGAAACCAAGACTCAACACCTTGTTCAATGTGAATAGGCATACTAAAGAATTAATTTAGGAGAATGAAGTTTATATGGAATTACTACAAGGTTGGATATTAAAGACTTTGCAAATTCGTGAACATTTGTGTTAAGAAACATTTAATGTGGAGATAACATCTATTGACTCGTGTCTGGGTGTTAGTTTATCTCCTTATTGAGTGTGCTGTAGACTATTCCTGGTCCTTTTCTTTTTCTAATTTGGTGTCTCTTTAGCCAATGAGAGTCTGTCTGATTGTAGAGCTTCTGCACTGAAGGGAACTGACGACTGCTCTGATTAGCCACTTTGTCAAATGTCAGTTGCAATCAATTTGGCTGATGGAAGGAGCCTTCAACTCTAGTCAGAGAATCAGTTTTGTCAGGGGAGCAGAGCACCAGGATACATATCAATGTGGTCATTCTGGTTCCCTGTCTAAAAGGGCAAGCTATAAACACAAACAAGCATAGATAATTCAAATTAGGTGATATTCACAAGCATGACATTGGGAAATTACTCCATCACTAAACTACTGGTCTAATTTCAAGCTTACACTCAAGGTACTGTGATTCATATGAAAGAAAAGAAGAGTTGAGTGTTACTGAGTTAAAGCGCATGTAGGCAAACATGTGACAACATGAGACTAAACATATAAGCACTTGCACAACCAAGTTCATCTATCCTTGTACCTGTCTATACAGCATTGTTATAATTTCTTTTCAGGAGGATGTATGTATGTATGTATGTATGTATGTATTATAGACTATTATATTACATTATATTATATGACAAAGATATTTCACTCACACATTATAAATAACTGTTCATAAAAGGCTTGCTTTCTGTTGATTCTGCAAAATGTTCAAGTCTCTAAATCTGTCTTAGTTGCAGCCTGCTTTCAGTATGCTTTGTCACGGTCAAAATATGTTTGCTATGTGCTTGGCCTTGGATTGGAATCTGGGCTTGTGGTCTTCTACTGGTGGCTCTATTATATGTATTAACTTTAGGTGCAATATGCAACAGTAAATAGATGTAAAACCTCTAAATATTTCCTGTGCACACCTCTTACATATCTAATATCCATCAGGTATGTCCAATATCTATGTGAACCCAACAGCCCTGAATCCAAAGTATTTGTTTAATTGAGATGCACTTTCTGTAATCTAGTCTGAAACAAAACTGCCACAACTTGCTATTACAATAAATTATATTCATATCATTGCAAGCTATTATTTCCTGCAATTAAAGAGTCAAGAATTATCTTCACAAATATAATCATTCTGAATTTTATCTCCTTAGTAGCTCTGTTTTCATAAGAGATCGGTTTCTTTAGCCTAACCAAACTTTCTGAGGACATGTGGAAATTAATTAACCCCTAATCATCATTAACTCCTAATTATCATTATAATTTTTTTCAATATCACACCACCTAGGTGAGTGATTTTCACACAACAAATTCTCAGCCAACATTTTCTAAACCAAACACAAATTTTAATAATTAACAAACTTCATTTTCTTAATGAAAGAATTTCAGAAATATTTAGAGTTTCACTTGTTTACCCAATAAATTATGATTCCATATACCTTTTTGCAAGAAAGTGAATAATCATCTATTTTAATGTACTTGTAAATGAATTACATTGAATAAAAAGAATCAGATGAATCTACCAAGGGCTTAATAGAAAATTACATAGCAGATGCTTATGAAAGAATTTGTACTTTCCCAGTGGGGCAATTAATAAGTCAATAACCACAATGCAAAGTTATTTTTTAATCTAATTGACTTAATAGAAACGGGAAGACATACAGTGTTGAACTGATAAAAAGCCAGGCTAAACAGTGTGTTACTGCCAAAAGGACATGTGTAAAGCAAAAATTGTTTTTAGTCTAGCCTAACATTTGGTTTTCTATTGCATACTTTTGAGAATATATACATGATATAGACAAAGGTACAAAATAAAATCAAATAAAAACTTTATTGCATAAATCAGCATTGCAATAATACTCAGGTGCAGAGATTGAGTTGTCTGGAGTGCTTGGAATTGATGGAGGAGGACTGGCAGTATTGATCACACCGTGTCCCGGGGAGAGTCCTGTGGGAGCAGGTGGACAAGGGCCACAAGGCACACCACCTGGTACATGTTGCCAGTTTTGCCCTTTGAAAGCACAGCTGAATGGTGTTTCGTTACTTAACGTGTGGAGTTTTCACATGAAGAGCTGAACAGGGATGACACAAATGAACAGTGGACAGTGCCACAGTGGACAGAAAAAAATGCCACAAGACCTCATCTCTACACAAAGAACTACAGGCAACTGAGGAAAGCTGGAAGCAGGAGAGGTGAATTCTACAGGAAAGAGCACTGCAATTGGCTATCCAGTGTCAAACATTCAGTCCTTACTGCATACATATAAGTAATATTACATAAACAGGTCACACACACACACACACACACACACACAATCCTCTCTCTCTCTCTTTCTCTCTCTAGCAATTAGTGAAAAAAGAGGCCATAAATTTGAAAGAGATTGGGAATGGTTCTATAGGAAGATTTAGAGCGAGGAAAGTGAAGAGAACAAGAGAAATGTTGTAATTTAACCTCAGAAAAACAGAGTCTTGAAGCACGATTAACAAAAGTCAAAAGCTTAGGGATAGATATTGGGGTTCAACCTGAAGATCCAAAAAGTAAAACAGCCAGTCACTGGCTCTTATCTCAACCTCAATCCGAAATGGTGATCCTGCCTCCAGGAATCTCCGAATGAAAGTATGCCTGAGAGTTGTCTGCTCCTGTTTTATAATACCCTCTAGGATTGGGATTAAAGGCATGCACCTCAGATATATAGGCATGCCCCACCTGGTTACTATGGCAACTGGTGTGACTACTGGGATTAAAGGTATGTATTACCATTATTACCTGGTTGGTAAGACTGACCAGTGGGGCTGTTTTACTCTCGGATCTTTAGGCAAGCTTTATTAATTAAAATATAAATGAAGTGGCACTAAAGAGTCTTGTCTTCTTTTGTCTACATCACCATAGCACTGAGCATCACAATTTATTGAAATAGGCATTGTTTGAGTTTTCTGACAAACCAGCTTGTTGTTTGAAATATTGTCTCATTATCACCCTAAAACACAAAAGTGTTTCCTCATGAGGAAACACTTGAATTTTTTTCTAATAAATTATCTTCAACTTTAAGAAAGATCATTATATTTTAGAAAGTGTACTTTAATTTCTTTTGTATTTTAAATAAGTTTACAAGCTATTTTTAAATACATTTTCAAACTGTTAAAACATCCTTTTCCTTTCCTTTTGTTATTTTATTTACCTTCATTTTATTATGTCAGAAAAACATGAGTTATTTAAATATATTCAAAAGCAGGCTATGCTTTCATGTTTGATGTCAATTATCTATGTGATAAGTCATCTGAAATAAACTAATATGAATCTATCTAAAAATAAGCATAATTGAAAATTATATAGAATATAAACAACCAAGAAAATTAATAGAGTCAATACAACTATTCATATGACTTCCCCAATCTTGTGGCATCTTTCAAAACGTCCACAATCTTCTGCTTAAGGAGATTTAAAAAATATTGTTCAATTTTTATAAAAAGAGATTTAAAAAAATTTCCTGTCCTCTTTAGTAAATGAAAATCTCAGGCCTGCAAACTAAAGGTTGGGAAGTCATTGAAAAATATCAGCAGTTGGAGTGTGTTACCATGGCAATATGCATCATGGGTTAAGTGTCAAGTGGTGATGGAAATTAGCACAAGTAGCCAAGTATTTAATAGGGAAGCACAGATCAGCTTCTGAGAAACAACTGACACCTGTCCTTAGTAGAGGGCACTGCATTCAAACATCTAATAAAATAAAACATGTTCTGTCTTTAGATGAAACAAAGCTGTATTTTCTCCTTGCTTCTCAAACTGGAGACACGGTGTGACTGAGGAAAACCTTGTCTCTTGTAGAAAAGAGAAAGTAGTGTAATATCAAATAAAAATTTTACCAGGTCTGAAGCAGGGTTTCTCAAAAGTTTATTAAGCATCACCATGTGTCTATAGATAGTTTGGCACAAGTTAGTAGTTCTAAAAGAGGGGTACATAGAATTTTCAGTAGAGATGCAGACTTTAAAGGTGGCAATGCATCTACCTGTATTATGATCTGGGTTTGGATTTAATATGTCACGTATAAAATATGTATTTGTTAGTTATTTTTGGGCAAAATCAAATCTTCCTAATTTAGAGGGAATATAATGAACAGGCACAAGGGAATTGGTTTGTGATACATTGGGGGTAGATTATTTTGCAGACCTACAGCAGGCTTGGCGACACCCCATTCTGTGGTCTGAATTAAAGCATTGTTAACTGTGAAGGTGTGAATCCCAGAGACCTGTAGGCTGTAGACCCAGGAAGAGACCTGGAGCTGAGTTGGGCTCTGCTTTTCTTTCCTACTTTCACCAGGGAACATCCAAAGAAATAATGGGTTTTTTAAAATATCAGTGGTGAGTAGATTTTATATTGGTGATTTACATGAAAAAGATTGTCATAATGCCAGAATTCTTTCCTGTCCTACCTCCTACTCCCCATCCTCCTCCCATTTTTCATTTTTCTTGTCTGTCTCTGTTTGTGTCTCTAATTCTCTCCCTTCTGCCTATGTGTCTCTCTTTCTCTCCCCACTTTCTTACTCCCCTCCTCGATGAGCATCATTAATACAGGATGGCCTTGCATTTAATGTGTGGTTCAGCCTGACCTTGAACGCCTGCATGTGCCCTTTGAATACCCAGATTACAAACTTGAACCATGAAGTCGGACAGAAGGCAGAATCCTTACTATCTTTACACCAATGTCTCTCCTCACAAAATCAACATTCTTTCATCATGCCCCAAATACACTAACAAGAAAAACTGAGCCAAAAATAAACCCAAGGCCTATACTCATTAACGTAAAGACTATTTTCCATTTACCAGTTTCCATAGGATGTATGTACAGCATTGACTCAGTTTACAACTGAGAGCATGTTGAGGGGGGGTTTCAAAGTAGCAGCTAAAAATAAGCAGAATCTGCTCTGGTGTGCAATTCTTTGACTCTTTGGCTTGTTCTTTCATGTACTTTAGTTGTTGGGTTTTAAATGACCAGAATACATACTTCACTGATGTTGGAATCGGGGCCATCCAGGGCTCCTCCTTCAAGGATTCTCCATCTGGAAAACCTTTTATTTATACATACTTAGATCTTAAAATAAAATAGGTTTATCCTTGTTTTCAAGCAAGAAAATCCACAGAATGCTTAAAGTCAGTGTATACATTTCCAAAACAACTGTTGCAAACTGATGTGGAAGGGTTTACATCATTGTCTGATTGACTCAATGTATGTGCATAACTGCATAATTGCCTTCCGAAAATTAAGTACTTAATTTAAAACATATAAAGAAGAGAGTCATGTAAATAAGTCTGCATAAAAATATCATGTTTGGGGCTGGAGTGATGGCTCAGCAGTTAAGAATTCTTCCTTGTGTTGCAGACGACCTGAGTTGGTTCCTAGTGTCCAGATTAGGCAACTCACAACTGTTCATGAGTCTAGCCCCAGGGAATCTGTACTCCCTTCTTGAATCTATGGGCACTTGAACTCACATGCATATACATTTATGTGTGTGTGTATAATTTTTGCCCATTTTTTTATGAACTCCTCTCAGACCTCCCTAGGACCGATCTCAAACTTTAGTAGATAGACAATACCTATTGAAACAGATGGTATTTTTCAACAACAGAGGGGAGAGGGCAATAGAGCTACTTTTATCATTACTTGAAGATACAGTTTTTCTTATAAGACAATATAAATCTGAATTTCTATTCTATTTATACAGATTTTGAAGCAATTATGCATTATGACTATTATAGTTTACTATTTGAAACCTACCAAGTGTACTCACATAATTTTGAATATATTTAATATACTTATAAAAAGAATTTATATAAAATTTTCTATAATTCTAATAATACTCATATAGTCATGAGACTTCATATTGAAGTTACAAAATTTGAATAAAATGTCTGTGATATTAATAATGGCATTTGCATAAAATAATTATTAAATCATTTTAGAAAAATATTAAAAATATAAATAAGTATTTTAAAGGATTAAGTAACACAAACTACCTCATATCTGAACAGTGGTCAGAAGATAAACAACATTTCATATTCATACAGTAAATAGCACTTATCTTGCTGGTATTTTGTATTATGGGTCAATCTAATTAAATTAGTTTAAATGGTTCAAGAACAAGAATTTAAGTTTGATTCATATATCTATATTTATAAGCATTTCTTTTGAATTGGAATTACCTATTATTGTAACTGAAGTTCTTATAAAGCTTGTCAGTCTTCAAGTTATTCAATTTCTTCATATTTAATCTATAAACATAAAACCAATTTATCTTTTAATATACTTGAAGTATGCTGTGACTCATCATAACAAGGCAGTCTTTCCTAAGATTGTGTACAATTTACTGGTTTGCATCAGCAAACCTTTACATACAAATCATAACACATTTAAAATAAAGATGTTCACCTAAATGAAATCACACTCTCTTTTTATGGTGGAACTCTCCTGTTCTGTCTGGAGAAATATCAAAGGAGTTTGTCAGGTGTAAATTATGTCATTATATATTACTGCTATATACATTAGTAACAGGAGAAAGAAATTAAGGCTAGTATAATATGGTTCTAAACTATTGCTTTTTTTTTCCTTATTTATTTATTTAAAGAATTTCCACTTCCTCCCTTCCTCCCAATACCCTCCCGCTCCCCCCACTCCCTCTTTCTTTAAAGCATCATTACTGAGATATCTATGAACTCAACTGGATCTGCACATGTATCTTTTGAATAAGTTTCTTTTTATATGAATGTACATTGCAACTCATATGTGAACACAATCACTTCACCTATGTGATATTAAATATACATTCTTAAGATCTTCAACTGCATGCTGATTATTTACTTTTTGGCAATTAAATGCATCAAACATATAAAGTTGAAATTAAAATAGAGACATAATGCATGGTTTTAAAAAGTATAAAATAGAGTTTAGAATACATTAAAATTTTGTAATATGAAAAGAACTTTATATTACTAAGTATAAAATCCAAATTTATCATGAAATAAACATATTACCCCAAATAGATATAAATATATAACTAATATTTAGATGTCTGGTTCTCAGAGTAATTAATACTTTAAAGATTATGATAAGCATATCTTTAATTAATTTTTATCAGAAAATGATCAGTATACATGAGTTTTAACATTTAAATAATATAAACAAGTTCATTACTTTTAAATAAGGTCAGGAAATATAAATTTTATTTATTAAATTTTACTAATATGCATTAATGTATTAAAATATGAGTATATTTCAATATTCCTTGAATGGCATTAATATGTCTTCCTTAGGGAAATGTTTTCCCAATCCTTTGCCCATGTTTGTCTGTGTGTTTGTATGTAAATATACATACATGTGTATTTGTGTGTGTGCATGTGTCTATGTGTTTGTATGTATGTCTGCATATGTGGTAGCACCTTATGCATATTTGGAGCTCCTTCCCTTGAGACATACAGAAGCCTGAGTAAAATTCTGTTTTCCTCTATTACCGTATTGTTTATCACCTTGAGCTATAATCCCTTTCCCTACTGCACACTTTCAGAAGTTTTGTCAAAATTAAACTGACTATAAATGTGTAGACATATCTCAGCTTTCTTTTTTCTGTTCCATTGTCCTGTTAGGCTAAGTCTCCTGGTCCAAAAGACATTTATGGTAAAATTGTCTTATGGAAAAAATATCAGTATAGTTTGCTGGAATTTGCCTTTAAACTATAGATCTCTTTGTATAGCAAAGAAAACATAATTGAACTTCTTCAGCATCTGGTTTTCTGAGATCTTATCAAATTGATTATTACGATTTGCATACAATACACTAGACTTTTAAAATTTCTTGTAAACCAATTTCTGAATCTCATACTTGATATCGTCTGTTGCAACCACAGCAGTGTTCGATTTCCAGAGCAATTTTTTCTGTGCTGGTCAGATTATCAGTGATGTGATAAACACCAAAGAGGAACAGCTTAAGAGGCAAGTTTTAATTTGGCTCATAGGTTCAGAAATTACAATCTAGAGAAAGCTTGTTTCATTCTTTCGGCCTCTATGGTGAAGAAAAATATATTATCAGGGATGCTTGGAAGCGGGAGATTGTCAGCACAAAGAAGCTAGAAAAGATGAGATAAAGTTCTGGGCACTGAGAGGGTGTGGACAGTGCCAATAAAGACCCCAGTTACCTTTTTCTAACTTGATCTATATCTTGCTTACTGTCAAGAATAGCAGGAATTAGTAGTTCATCAATTGTTTGATCCACTGATGTGTCCTTATGGCTTATCTCCTCTCAATGAGTGACTCTACCAGCAAAGGGTCAAACTTTCAGTACAAGAGCATCATTGTGACCAAATAGTATCACTTACCATACTTTTAGCTCTAGAATTTCATGTCTATGTATGAGAACACAAGCTTAGTACTATGGCCTTCTAGTGTGACCCTGAATCTTGGGCTCCTAGTCATAGGACTGACTGGGGATCCATGGCCAGTCTTACATTAAAGTTGGTGTGAAGAAACTAATTTAGAACACTAAATGCCATATTCTAATATCATGCATGGAACTGTAGATACTCTATTGGGCAGTGGAACTATAAAAGGTAATTTGAAGATTTTATCTACTGAATTTATTCTGTAGCATGCAGGAATAAATGCTTATCTAGAGGCTAGATTCCTGAGAGGTAGTGTGAGAGCTATGGCTGCAGGAATCTGCCTGGACTTTGCTTTTATAATGAGGGATTTCAGTGGCACAGGCATGGAGTTGAAGTGAAAGACAAAATCTCTAGCTTCATCACCTCTGCCTTCCCTGGAGAACAGGGTTTGTAGTTGAGAAAAGGTTGTCTTTTAAATCTCCATTTCTGATCTTCTTCAAATACATCTTTTTACAAAATAATGTATTACTTAACAGCAGGACTATGTTCTGAGAAACACTAGATAGGGTGATTTTTATCACAGTGGGAGTTCCAGAGTGTGGCTTTACTAAAATCAGTAAGGAGTAGGTCAGTCACTCTATGTGGCCTCTTTGTAATCAGGAAATGATAAACATGAGGTATATGAGGGTGCTCCAAGCATAATGTGTCACCCCACTTTAAAGTAAATTTTTATGTGTGAATAAGACAAGAATACTCTAAAATGATATAAAAGCTAAATAGTAAATATCTGTGGTAATAATAGACATTAGCCATAAGTATAATTATTTTCAGGTATTAAATATTACAGAATAATATGTGCTATACTTTTATAGAGCTGGAATATAGTGATTTGTTTAAATCAGCATCTACACAAATAGTTCAGAAATATCATTGTCTTTGTGCTATGACATTAAGGAATGAATGAATCTGGAAATAATCATTTGAGTGAGGTAACCCAGATTTAGAAAGACAAATGCCACATGTGCTCTCTCAGGTGTGCATGACAGCTTTTAATCTTTAGACATGTGTGTTTGAATGGGCATACTCAATACTAGAAGGCAGTAAACTATTAAGGGGCTATCTGGGGGGATTTAGAGACAAAAGGATAAAATGTATGGGAGAGGAAATGGAGAAAGATGCAATAAAAAGGGCCAAATGGGGTGTGAAATTGGGGGACATGGTAGAGATCTGAGATGGATAATTAAAATTAAAGACCTTCAAAATTGCCTTATGAAAACTTACCATAGAAGCTTCTTAAAATACATGTACATATGCATATACCAACATATGTTGATAGGGTTTAAATTGAGTTACTCTGCAATAGTGATGTGATAATACCTCATCAGACACCATGCGATATCAAATCAAAGTTCAGTGCCAGGTAGGGTGTGCCTCTTTTTGAGCTGGTCAGTGGCCTGCCATAGATTCACACTAAAACAGTTAAGGCTATTGTCATTGCCCTTGGTTACCCTGCAGAACTTGTTTGTAAGACCTTAATGCTTACGACACCACATACCTGAAGCACAGGACATGGAGAAATTAAGCTGATGTTGAACTGAAATCTTCATATTACCTGGATAGCTTTCATAGTGCAGGAAGGTTTTATTTATGCTACCGGGGGAGAAAAGTTATCAACAGTTTTACCCAGATGGACAGCCTCGAAGTCATAACTACTTTACTGATAAGATATGCCCATTGGTGCAATATTTGCGTGAATGTTTTGCTTTCTGATTGGACTTAAGATCTGTTCCACAAGATAGAACCTATATTTGATACAGTACCTAAAATCTGTGTCTAGAAAGATATTAGACACTAGAGAAGAACGTACTATTGATACTCTGCTTATGGACCACAGTATTGACTGACTCCTAAAGACTTTTCATTATGCCTATAGATTAGTTCATCTCTCAACACTCATCAGATATGATCCCGTTGTATTAGATAGTAATTGACTTACAACTGGAATCCTCAGTCTTAATGGGAATAACATTATGTCTGTTCTCCAAGGATCAGAAATCCTCATTGCAGAAGACAGAATGATTGCTATCTCAAACAGCTAATAATCACTGTGCGGGAGTACTTATTAGACACGGTAGAGCAGTCACACTCATGAGCTAATAGGGGCTGTGACTGCATATAGAAGTCTTACACAAGGTCAAGTCAACCAACATCCAAGAATGAAATGGGGAATGGGAGCATGAAGCCCCACTCCTCTCCAAGGACTATTGAAGACCGATGACTGCTAAGGGAAAAAGAGTTAGGAATACAGTCACCGAGAAACCTCCCATGGTCAGGCACTCATGCCATGCAGGTAGTACTAAATGGATTCAATGATTCTAAAAGAATGGAAATAGAAAACAAAATAAATATGGAAGGGGAAAGAGGCAGTTAAGATAGAGGGAAATTAGAGAGGAAAAATGGGGTAGAGTTGGTCATAATTATATGTATATATTAATATTGAATAAAACAATTTGTAAGTTGTTATAATTTTATGGAGCCGCTTTTATATATAGGGTCTGTCAGCGATCAAAGCATAGTCCCTATATCCATGAAATCCACATGAGTCTATTTCTGTGCAGCCTCCTTAGCTTTTGTGCTCAGGAATGATTATTCAAATTGATGCTTCTATGAAATCTGAGTGCTGCATAGCCCAGTGCTCCATCTTGTGATTTGAAGGGAATATCAAATTAATATTATTTTAGTAAGGTCCATTTTAGATACCAAGTTTGGAATTTGAACTCATGAAACTCCCAATCATACTCTTTCTCCATGTATGCTATACTAAAATGAAGCCGGGTGAACGTGCAGTGCGTTTAGAATACATTCACAGAGTGTGGAGACAGTGAGAATGGCGCACAGAAGTTTTAGAGTGGCGTCGTATTAAAACAATTAAAAAGGAGTCTGAGCATCTCAAAGTTATCGTGTCAAGGGACAAATTATAACATCGCTGTGTTTCCTGTTGACTGGTTGCACCCACAACATTTAAATATTTATTCCTGCTTTTCAGAGCATGACTGATGTAGATGACATTATCCTGTGAATAATGAAGCAATGACCAATGACAAGGAGACTCTTTCCAATGCTGACAAGAGCTCTCTCCCTAAACTAAAATGCCAGTGAGGTCCTCGGCTGCTGAGGAACTTAGGTTTACTTGTTGACTGCCTAGTGACAATTGAATGAATTAATACATGCAAAGCACATCGGTGGTGGAGAAAATGCCGTAAGTTCTCAATAAGCATTAGCTGTCATTGACAGTATGGATTTTGTTTTCTCAGATCTTAGCTTAATGCAAAATAAACAGCTTCTAGTGGACTAAGTTCAGATTCAACACTCTTTATCTGCTGAAAAGTGGAAGACAGTATGAATAAAATATGACAATATTTTTATAATATGTTTGGATCCTCTAATTGTAATCCACAAGCCAATCCCAAAGACCGTGTTGTAATTGTAAATACTAGTAAACTCATTTTGCCATTTTAAGATTATTTCATAATTAACAGTTTCATTCACTTAGACTTAAGATTATTTATTTCACAAATTAACAGTTTCATCCACTAAGACTAAATATGCTATCTGGACTAAAACTACATTCAAACAGATTGAATTTCAGAATTTTTTTCTAACAGGGTGTTCTAAATGATTTCCTTTAGACCTTTAAATAAAACATGCTCTGGAGGTGGTAAATTTCAATGATCTGAAATGAAAAGTGGATTTCTTTCCTGAATAATGCTCCAGAGAATATATCTCTTCATATTATTGTTCAGTCTGTTGGTACTGGCATGAGAGGTAGACTTTCATGCAATTTTCCAGTCTGAATTTTTCCCTTTACCCTTATATCGATGGCCTCCCCCGTGGGAAGCCCTGTGTGGCTCCCTATTCCTTTGGTCGCATTCCTCCTGATTGTGGCTCTCAACCGAGTCGGTGTCACCATGTGGTCACCCCATGAAAGTTCTCTTCCTGACCACACAGTAAACTCGCAAATGAAAGGTGCCCCCTCTTTACCTTGAGATTCTATAAGCTTTGGATGATTCCTTGGATATGACAGATACTCAATAAATGTTTAATGTAGGAGAGACGAGGGAGGTCAGCATATCAGATCACTTTGCACACCCCTTAGTATTTCTTTTAATCACCTGGGCACTTTGAACAGCTAAAATCTACTCCTTTAGATGAAGATTTATCTTGAAAAGTTTTGGTCCATTACCATAAAGATTTGGAATCTTAAAGTGCTTTTAAAATGGTCACAATATTATTTTAAAATCACTATATTTTATCACTATAAGTTGTAAACATTTTCACTGTACTTTAGCTGAAGATGGAATGCGAACTATAGATAATGAAAAAATAATGCTTTTGGTGTTAAGAACACTCTTATTCAACCTTCAGCATCCCTCCTAAATACTGTTTTATATATCGTCTTTAATTTGGGGACTAATTCCTCATGGAGATTATTGAAACATCTGTGTTATTTCCATACCTTGTGTACATCATTGATGCTGCACAGATGACTCTGTGCTGTGATTAGTTTCATGTCTGTCTCCTTAACAAGAGAACACAGGGGTCCAACACCATGGCTTTGATGTTTTCTTGCCACTCATACTAAGAACAGTGCCTGGCCCAGGATTAGTACTTAGGAAACTATTTTTGAATTGAAACTCTATGACACTGAATGGAACAAAGAGTCATGCATTCCATTTCAGATCACTCGCTTGCTTTGAAAGCGACTACATAAAGGCTTTCTAATTCAGGATGATCTATTATAACCATCGCATGGAAGCCATTATTTTCCGAGAGCATGATGATAGCTTTGGTTGTTGAAATAGATTATAAAGGCTTTGGCTTGAAATGCTGCTACTCAAAACAGTGAAAGCA